GGTTCACGGGATGTAAGAGAAAGCCCAGAAAGGGACTTTTGCATGTGTGGCCAACCCACAAGGACACCAAGACCCCTCCATGGGGAAAGGACAGTCTTCAGCAAATGGTGCTAGGAACACTAGATATCCACATGCAAAAGAATGGAGTTGAACCCTGACCTCACTCCCTATATAGAAATTAACTCAGAATGGATCTAAGACATAACATAAAAGCTACAACAATAAAACCCTTAGATGAAAACATGGGCAATGATCTTCAAGACATTGGATTTGGTGATGACTTCTTAAACAGAACACTAAAAGCATAGGCAACCAGAGAAAAAACAGGTAACTGGGACTTCGTGGAAATTAAAAGCTTTTGTGGATCAAAGGGCATTGTCAAAAAAGATAAAAAGACAACTCATAAGAAAATATTTGCAAATTATTTATCTGCTAAGGTATTCATATCCAGAATATATATATATATATATATATATATATATATATATATCCTACAACTCAAGAACAAAGCAAAGAGCCCAAGTGAAAATGGACAAGACTTGGACACCTTAACTCCAAAGAATAATAGGCAAATGGCCAAAAACATATAAAATGATGCCAACACTATTCATCATTACTGAAAGACAAATCAAAACCCCAGTGAGTTACTACTTCATACACTTTAGGATGGCTATTGAAACAAAGGAAAGTGTTAGCAGGAATGAAGAGAAACTGGAACCTTTGTACATTGCTGGTGGAAAAGTTAAATGGTGCAGCCACTGTGGAAACAAGCCTGAGAGCTCCTCAAAAATATAAAAATAGATGTACCAGATGACCCAGCAACTCTACTCCTAGTTAATAAGCTCTAAAGAATTGTGAGTAGGGATGACAGAATTATCTATTGACAGATAAATGGAGAAAAGCAATGCAGCCTATACACTTAATGAAATACTATGAAGCCCTAAAAAGGAATGAGATTTAGGTATGTGCTCTAACATGGATGAACCTTGAAAATATTAAACTAACGGAAATGAGTTGGATATAGAGGACAAATATTATTTAATTCTATTTCTATGAGGCTCCTAGAATAGGGAAATTCATAGAGAATAAAGGTTACCGGGGCTGGGCAGAGGGAAAATTGGGGGGTTTGTTGTTTAGTTCTGTTTGAGATGATGAAAATATCCTGAAGGATGAGGTGATGGCTGGGTAACAGTGTATAGGTATTCAAGTCCCCGGAATTGTACATCCAAAATTGGTAACTTTTATGTTGTGGATATTTTACTACAAAAAGTCCCCAAAAAGCCAGAAGTAGGGAAATGGACTGGAGAGAGGCCACCATGCAATCAGGGGAAGCTGGTCTGCAGAGAGGCGAAGTCATGCACGGAAGAGACACGCAGAGGCCAGCACAGCTGAGAAGCCCAGTGCCGGAGAGGGCCGGAGCACCCCACCACAGGCTCTGCCAGGCACCCGAGGCCCAGGCCGCGTTCTGCACGCTGCTTCTGTGATCACTCGCCTCCTTCCAGCAGGGACTACGTGCACTAAGTACACCTTTGTTCCTTGTAATGCAAGGACCCCCCCATCCTCGAAGATGGGGAAGTCATCCCCCCTCCCGGAGATTAAGTGTGAGCAGTTGGTCTCTAAGGATACTATAGTTCCACAATAGTGGAAAAACTGGGCTGCTCCCCCCTTTTCCCTTGTGCTTAGCAGGGTGCCTGGCTACAGGCATCAGCCAATAAATAGTTGTTATGGGGCGGAGAAGTTCTCCCAAGGAGACTATAAAAACCTTTACTTCCACATTCTCACTGACCACATTTATACCAAATTTAAACGAAAGGAGCTAACTAAATTTGCTCCCATCACTGACCTAAACGGCCTTGCTTAGCTCTTCACAAGGGCTTCACCTAACTTGTTCATGGCCAGGAGAAGTTCATGCACGGTTTCCATCAAACGCAGCGTGGAGTGTCTCTACAACATGTGGGTCCGGGATGTCCACGATTTTATTGGGCTTCCAGCAACATTTAGCAAACTAGGTGTCAGAAATGTCCAATTCATTTTCTCATGAACACAGAACACATAAAACTTCTGAGTTGACAGCAATCAAAAAAAGTAAACACATGCCTTTTGCAGCAACATGGCTGGAGCTGGAAAAGATCATGCTTAGTGAAATAAGCCAGAAAAAAAAGGAAAAAATACCGATGGTTTCACTCACAGTAGGAGTATAACAGACCAGGCGAGAAAATAATAATAATGATGAACAGCTACATACCAGAGACATTTTACGGGGGTGGAGTGGGGGATGGGATCAAAAACAGTGGGGGAGGGAGATGCACTGGACTATGGCGATGGCACAGGGTGATTTGGTGATGGGAAACCCAAGGGGATTGCAACTGAGATGGGAAAAGGCACAGATGATGTAAAAATAAGCTGTTATATTATTTATTTAAAAAATTGCACAACCACAAATCTTCCCATAAAAAAACACATTCTGGTTTGGCAGTTGCTCCGGGGGGAAGAGCGCATCTCCTTCTTTAAGACACAAGGTCGGAATTTCAGGAGCCGCCATGAGCGCCAGAGCGGAGCTGCCCTCGCACTGCTCCGCACCAGCGCCCAGCTGTGGGTGCGCATCGCTTCCAACACAGGAAAACTAGAAACAACCTATTTTATAGAAGGGGGGACACTGTCACACAGATGCACTCAGACACACCAGTTAAAACGACAACTCGAAGACTCTGGCAAACACAGACATTTACCAGACACAGGTAAATGAGAAACGAGGAAGCAAAACGAGATCTAGCATTCGATGGCAGCCGCGGGGAAATGCCATTCTCAGCTAAAAGGCTGGGTGCTCCGGATGTGGGTGGGACAGTCACGGCAAGGTGGTAAAGTGGTACACAGAATACCGAGATATATCAAACTTCTACCTTGTGACGTTTTTAGAAGTCAGTTATGACCTACTCCACCCTGCTCTCCCTCTTGCCTACTCCTGAAGAGAAACATGAACAAATGGACTGAAGAAGTCTGGTCCATGAGCCGCCATGCCAGACTAGAGCAAGTGACCCCGCCTGGCAGGGGCGTGGGGGTGGGGGGGTGTCAAAGGCGGGGTTTTTTTCATTGCAGCCTTGGATCTGCGGCATCAACATCATCTGGAACTTGTTAGAAAAGCAAATTCCGGTTCACCGGAGACCTACTGGTTGAAATTCTGGGGTTAGGGGCCCAGCAGTGGGTTACATGGACTCCAGGTGGCTCTGAGGCCCGTCTGACAGCCCATGACTCCCCCATGTGCACGAGTCATCCTTCATATCTGGGTCTCCCACAAACACCACTCTCGCTTGGCACTGCTTATTGGATCAGGTGCAGAGCACCCAAGGTGGACTTTGCTGCCAGATTTTATCTTTCCCATGACAGCTGGTAACACGGACCGTGCCCACGTGCAGCACCTCACTTAATACTGTTCACCACCCTAGAGGCAAGTGATATTAAACCCCCCTCTCCATAGGTAGGAAGACTGGGGCCCAAAGAAGTCCAAGGCCATGCCACCAGTAAAGGACGAATCAGGAATGAGCTTAGACCACCGGATCTGGAGCACCCCTGGAGTGCTGAGAGGCTCACGGAGACTCTGCTGTGTCTCAGGAAGCGCTGATTCCCGCGCACACTGATGTCGGAACCTCTAGGTTCTGCTGCCTCCTACTCTGCCGGGGGACACCCGCGCACACCGCCCTTCAGAGTCATCACTGCTGTGTTCAGGCTGCTGCAGATATCCACCGTCTGTCCTTGGTGCCACGGCCAACCTCTTCTGGCCTCGGCAGGCCTTCCAGGCTGCTTCCCAGAGATCCCTGGATAGAATGGGTCCCTCCCTCCCTTCCTCAACAGTGTAGGTCTCACCGAGACTGATCAAATCCCACCCTGAATTATAACTATGCACACACGCCTTGGGCAGAGGCAGAGGGGCACGTTGTCACAGGGCTGGCTGACACCTCAGATACTGGCTGGGGCCATCAATGTCTTTCTGTGATTCGATCCATTCTTAGACAAGTATGCACCTTCTCTGCCCAGCTGGCGGCCAGTAAGCTCCATAAGAAAAAAATGCAACCCTATTTTATATCTCAGCCATACTCAGTCCTGGCCAGGTACCCAGTCAGGTCTATAATCGGTGCTTGGATTCAAGCTGGATGTTACTGGCACACGACTCTGGCATAAATTCTTTTGCTACTTAAACCCTATGAAAATGAAGCTTCTGTCAGTGGGGGATATTCATATAATATAAAGGATTCAAGTAAGTAATTTTTTGAAAATAGAAATAGTTAATTTAGTATTTTAATGGTATTAAATAATAATCAAGAGGATTTTATGAGCACATCTTCTTTAAAATATGCTCAAATTTGCCTACTATTGGGGGAAAAATCACAATTCTGTCTTTAAAAACTCAGGCTATTATATGTCTTCAATATGCTTCATTTCAAATGAAAGAATACTATTTTTAAAAATCATACATAAAAGCCAATGTCTCTCACTAAAGAAAAAGACATTTTCGTCCCAGCTATCTATCATCTATTACAGTCATTTATCTAATCCAACCAAAATATTTTGAACAGAAAGAAAAGATCTCATAAATATTCTAGTTCCTATCACATCTCTAGGAAATCAGAATATGTCGTTCAATAATATTTAAACCTCAAAATCCAGAATTGTTAACTTTTGGGAACAAGATATTATAAAACCCAAGTGCTAACTCTCTTGCTTCATAAATTATTTTATTTAATTATGGGCATCATTAACAGAGAAAAATACCAAGCCACAACATATTTTTCACAAACTGTAAGACACGGATTAAAAGTACGTAACAATGCAAGCAGAGACGATCAGATTATCACAGCCTTTCGATTGTCATTGACTCCCCTCCAGTCCTTCCACATTACCCACGAGCTCTAACAGCAAATATAAAACGAAAGCTCCGCTGAGCTTGGCGACCCTCTCCAAATCTAAATCAACGGACCACCACGGCACAGGCAGTGCAAACTTACCAGCTCCACAGATCCATAATGCTTCCTACTGAAATCCCCACGTCTACAGCCTAGGTCTTCCGAGACAGAGCTGGAACAAAAATGCTTCATCAGTATAATACATAGCGATCTGGCCACACACCTTCCGCAAGAATCGACTACCATTTGCAGCCAGGGCTGCGAGGAGCAGGCTGCCCAGCGCCTCACTGCAGGGGAGCCTCCTCGCAACAGAAACAGTGCCCGGCAGTCATGGCAGAGCCTGACTTTCCTGGAGCCCTCAGTAAAAAGAAAAACACCGCGTCATCCCTGGAAGTATAGGCAATGATTGAATTAAATATTTAGTCATTTGGAATGGGCTGAAATTTCCAAGGCTACTGGTGGTTTATAATTTTACTTCTGATAGCCAAAGGGGACAGCAGCCCTGCAGTGAACCTGAGGGGAGGGACAAAGCTTGCCGTTATCTTTCATTTAAGAGGGTCTCTTTATCCCAAATACTCAACGTCAAAATACCAGCATTGTTCAGTGCTTCACAGGAAAAATAAAACTTCAAATGGAAAGAAAAAAATCTGCAAAATCCTGGTAAGTCCACATGGGGGGGGCAGGCACCGTTAATGAATGACAATTGGGGGGAAAAACAAACAAACAAAAACCCAGAATAACAAAATCTAAAAATCTAACATCCAAGTATATTTAGTTTTTTGCATAGCAGTAGCTAATACTTTCCCACCGCCTCCCTCCACTCCCCAAAAAGATTTAAATTAAAAAAATCACAGATGTTGTTGAAAACCAATTAAAACAAGGGCAAAGTGGTTCTTGCATTTGCATCCTGGCAACTCCAGAGACACATGTCTTACCGACGGCTCATCTGCTCCGGACCCCAAGCCTAAGTAAGCGTTGGAGATCTGCCAGTGCAAACCGTTTTACTAAGTTGTTTTGCTCATATGTCATGCAAATAACTGATAAAACATGGAAAATAAAATTACACAGGAATTACATGCTTAAGGTCTCTGAAGTATTTGGGCTCTACCATGCAAAAAGGTGCCTTTAGTACCTTTTCATCCTTCCTTAAAGAGCAGGGGATATTTGCTCAATGGCAATCACCTTGGCACATCAAGAGCGAGCCCGAGTCTGTGGGCAGTGCCACAGAACAGGATCTGCCTGGGCGCTGTTTGACAGGCTCTGGGAAAGACAGCCTGAGAGAAATGAGATTACAGAGTCTAATGGTATTCGGCTTCCACCATTTCACAGAGACGGCTGAATTAATCTTATATGAGAAACTTAACCTTTTGTGTTCCTCACTTCCTTAGCTGAAAGGTGCAGCAAGTTAACGAATGCAGCTTGGCAGGGCGTCCAGATGTTACCCATGCTCCCCTCCTGCCTCTGGTGACATGCCTTTCACCCCAAAATCCTCTACAAGAGAATCAGCCCTGTACTCCACAGCTGATTCCGGTCTGCATCCCATATACCCTCCATGCCCATTTCCTCGCCTGTTTCAAAAGCCCTCTGGGGAGTATTGCTGTTGCCATACACAGCAGTCTTCCGATCCTTGTGGCAGCCTGCGTGATCAAGGCACAGGGACCCAGCGAGAGGTCCAAGCTCCAGGACTGAGGGTTTGCACAAAGCAGATGCTCCAGGGCCAGCGAGGGACCCCAGGCCCTGCCCAGACCTCAGCCCACTCAGGCCAACGGCCAGGGATCAAAGTAGCAGCAGCTCCTGACTCCAATGGCCAAGGACATGACAAGAGCAAGGATGCTGACTGTGGGACCCTCCCTGGGCTGTCCCTGGCACTGTCTTAGGATAGTGGGCCCCTCCTTGTGCCTGCCTCTAACTTTGCCGACAACCAGAAGCCAACACAGGAAAGATGACAACCCCATGTTCCGAGCAGTCACCCCTTAGAAGCCTCCTGGAGGGAAACAACACCCTATGAGAACAATCGAGAGAGATCTAAACAGAACATCTGCCATCGGGTGCCCTTTTCCCCTCTAATTACATTTCATCTAATGCACTGCAGAGAGCGTGTGAGCATGCTAATGGCGGGAGCCAGGCTCAGCTCTCCGGGTGCATACCAGGGCTGCAGGGGCACGCGAGCCCTCCCCAGGCTCTCTGAACCCCTGGCACCAGGGGCATCATCCAGAGCAGCTTTGTTCCTCAGGGCTGGTGTCTACCCCATGGCCTGGCACAGAGAGGTCATGCAGCGGCTGTTCCATCGATGAAGGGATTTGCACACTAGCTACTGCCTGTGGCACCTCGGGAGCACCCAGGTGGGCTGCCTGTTGATCTCCCAGGTGAGCTGCTGGTTCCACGGTAGGCAGATGCTGCTATGTGCTCGCCCAAGCCACTTCTCTTTCCCTCTGGCCTCGCCACAGGACTATGGCCCGGGTGCCGCTCACTCGGGTGCCTGCACTCTGGCCCAGAGAAGGTAGGCAGTGACCAGGACACTTCCAGAAACATCCAGGGTAGGTGCTCCCTCTCCTTCCCTATGGCCAGCTGGGCCAAGATGGGGCAAACCAGGGGCTCTGAAAGATACCAAGAACATCTGCGCCAGAGCACAGTGACAGCGAGAAGTAAACATGCAGCTGTGTTAACCACCCAAACTTGGGTTCACCTGTTAAAGCTCTCGTGTCACCTGAGCTAACACGGAAATCAGAATCTTGCAGAAGTGTTGCCATGGCAACACCCTAAACCACATGGCAATAGCTCTGTAGGTGGGTAGTGGCCAGTGAGGAAATGGCTCTCACAGGCTGGAAAAGCGGAGCTCTGCTTGGTAGAGGAGCAAAAGCTCCATAAACTCACGCCTGCAGTCCTTTAGAAGGTGCCCGTGCCCATTAGGCTGCGTCTCCAGTGAGTGCAGGTGCCTCTCCGACTAGTCAGCAGGCACTGCCTATAGGCTGCCCTGGGCAGGGACTGGGAGCCCAGGTAAACCCAGATGGGCTTTACGCAGAGAAGAAGGCAGAGAGGTCTAGAGACCAAGGGCCTCAGAGGTCTGGGAAATCATTCTGCTCTGGACACCAGACCACAGAATGTAGAAGTGAGGCTGAGAAGGTGGCCTCTTCCGGCCCTGCCAGAAGCATTTCTCACGAGTAACTCGCGCTCTCTTTCTTCATCAACTGGCTAAAAGAAAAGGGCTCTTAGGACCAAGAGGATAGAAGCCACACGTGAAGGAGGCCTGGCCTCGAACCGCCCGGTGGGCAGAAGGGCATCCCGAGGAGGCATTTGGGGGGTCAGCTGACTAGGGGCTCACAGCCTCTTTCTGAAAGATGTTGATTGGAACACGGCCACCCCTTTGCTTACAGAATGTCTGGTGATTTTTTTCCTTTTGATTTCAGAGTTCAGTACTTGCAGTAGGCCCTGGGGGGAGGGGGGCCCAAGCCCAAACTATCTAGTCCCCAGCCTCTGCAGGAAGGTTGCCAGCTGCAGACTCTTGCTGGTTGCAGGCCTATCCAGAAACTGCTCGTCTGCCAAAGGGAACACTGGATAGTGGTGTTTGTCAGCTAGATGCACGCGTTTGTCAGAATCCCTGGGCTTTCTGAAAATGCAGATTCCTGGCCCCACCCCAGAGCCGCTGACTCAGCATGTCTGTTCTTCACATGCAGCTGCGGGCATTCTTCAGCAGGTGCCCCACAGCAACACTTCAGAAAGCACTGCTCTCGCAGACCACAGACTCTGCAGCCCAGGGAAGCCGCCAGCCACAAGGCAGCACTGCAGAGGGCGGGACAGGCCCTGACCAAGGTTTCTGCACGGGAGCAGTGGGACTCCAGCCGAAGTGGCAGGTGCCAGTCTCTGGGCGCCAGTCCCCCATGTGACCCTAGTACCGTCTACTTGACAGAACCATAAAGAACAATTAAGAAAAAGCCCATCAAAGCTTATCCTACCAACAGTTTGTCACATGAGAGCTGCACTCAGTGGGTGTTCGATAGCTATTATTATTGCTCTTATGAATAGTGTGAATTCTGTGTGGGACTGGCAAGGGGAGTTCTGCATGCATGATGACTACCTTTTTAAAGAGTCTTAAGATACCATTCTCTTTCTTCCTGTAGCATAAAAGAGGCTCTGGGGGCCGGGACCGGCCTCCGAGGGCAGAGCTCACAACTGTACCTGCACTGCGTTCCTTGAGGGTGCAGCCTCGCTGGAAAATACTAAACCAGCGAGAACAGGGTAGGTGCAAAATGGAGCAGAGGGTTCAGGCTCCTCATAGGAGCCGCCACCTCCACGCTTAAATATAGTCCATCTTAATGAATTAATGCGTGAGGGTGCTGGGTCAGGCTTGGCAGCATGAACAGAGTGGGACTTGCAGGTTAAGTTCTGAGTATGGCCTGGGAGGCCAGCAGAGAGGGCCAGCTCCACTCCTCACAGAGCCTATAAAAAATGCCACTAGATATGTCACATTCCCAGGAAACAGGATGTCCCTCCCCCAAGAGTCAAATTTATGCAACTGAATAATGGGAATGAAGCCAGGAGAAACTCAAGGGGCAGCCCAGCAGACCAGGCTTGAGTGATGGCTCACTGGACCCCACTCATCCAGCCTCGGTTGTTTCTGAGGGTTAAAGTCAAGAGCAAGAATGGGGATTCTGCCTGGATCAGCAGAGAGAATTGTTGAGAAGCAATGGTCAGTTTTCAGAAGTCTACAGAAGGTGAAGTTCAATGTCAAGGGCTTCAAGACAATGCCTCAGCCCTCCCCACCACCCCCCATCCCCACTCAAGAGAAGATAGCAATCAGATGAAAGGGAGCCGCTTATTTGAGGGACAGGGGTAGAAAATGTGCCAGACTGCAAATGTGGCTTGAAGGGAACCGAGAGCCTCCTCATAGCAGACTCTGGAATAGCTTATCACACTTAAGGGACCAGTTGTCTCTCCTGAAGACAGTGACACAGAAAATCAGAGATGCGATTATGTTAATTTCTAATGATAAAATAAATGGAAGACTTTTGTCCTCTTTTGAAGGGCTTTCAGACCCCAGGGAGTAGGAAGTAAGCAGAAAAATTTCTAGAGCGCAAGGGTTCCCAAGAAATCCAGCCCCTTGGTTCTTATAGTTCTGCAGACAGCTCCCTGCTCCCCTGCTGTGCTTCTGGGGACACAGTACTATGTGTTCCT